TTCATGTATTTCTTTTCATCTTTTTCATTATTGTTGATTTTGTGTTTGCTGAGTCTTTATGTTTTTCTTCTTTTTTTATTGTGATGGGTAGATTTGTTAGCTTCCTTTGTGGTTACCTTAAATTTACCTCTGTTTTTCTAAGTTTAAACTGATCTTTTATTTCTTAATATCACCTTAACTTCCTTTCCATATGGAAGTTCTATGACTACACTGTTCTCTTTTTTGTTTTAATGTTGTCATTGTTTACATATTGATGTCTCTGTTTCCCTATTTTCAGTCTTTAAGCTTTGACTTGTTTTTGTGACTTCCCTATTGGGTTGATATCTGGTTGTTTAGGAGGAATCAGTCCCTGGAGAAGTACATCATGCTTGGTAAACTAGAAGGTCAGTGAAAAAGAGGAAAACCCTCAATGAGATGGATTGACACAGTGGCTGCAACAATGGGCTCAAATACAGCAGGATTGTGAGGATGGCGCAGGACTGGGCAGTGTTTCATTCTGTTGTACGTAGGGTCGCTGTGAGTCAGAACCGTCTCAGCAGCTAACAACAACAACTACAGCATTAGCGGGAACATGAATGGGCTTTAGCAAATGTGAGTTTTCCCAACGGCATGTGGCCTTTTCTGTAACAACCACCTCAAGGCTGTGGAGCAGCTGTGAACCTTGATGGTAGAACCCTACGTTTTCCTGACATAAGCAGCATTATTAGCAACACTCTGATTTTTTGAACAACAGGCAAATCTGAAACAGGTGATGATCTTTGTGGAGTTTTTCCCTTCTAGCACACTGGAAAATAGTATTGTAAGCATCTAATTACTTGTTTTAAATTTGTTTTCCTGACTGAAACTTGACTGATAGTGCCTCCAGTAAGAAACACCTAAAGGCTCTCAGAATTGCCAGATAAACAATTAAAACATAAAAGTTATTTACTAAGGTCTTACATTAGATCCTTCCTGGTTATGTGCCGTACTTCTAAAGTTCTCTTGCTTCTAATTATTTTTTTCGGTTTTAATCTCCTATTCTGTACTTCATTGCTGGGTTTGTGATCTTATTCAATGTGTTTGTTTTGATTTTTCATTTCATTATATCCTGTCTCTTGCAACCTGCATGTCCTCATTATGATTGATCTACCCATCTCTGAAAGCTTATCTTCTGTGACCTAAGATTTTTGATTTTTTCCAGAGTTTACCTTACCTTTGTGATCTCGTTTCTTTGCCCATCATTTTAAGCCACTGTAATCATGACTTGGGATTCTAGACTTTTACAAATAACAAATTTGTATTTTGTAACCTCCCTACACCAAATAAATTTCAGCAGAAAAACATCAAAATAAAACACGAGTGCAGTACATGGACACAGAACAAAACACTGGAATGGATAATAAATGTACAAAAAGATGGTCGACCAGGTTAATAATGAGCGATTTGCCATTTAAATCAATGAGGTACATTTTCATATACTTTGAACTGGTGAAAATTAATACCCACCAAATGGGAGGCACCAAATCATCAGTCACCTCAGTGCTGGTTTACTGGGTGCATGAACAGAGTGGTGATGGGATTGCCCAACAGAATGGACTCTCTTGAACCAAGACAGATCTAGCTACTGCTGCCACCAAAAATCCAACTGGCTAGCATTCTGATTATACATTCCAGGTCCAGGGAAATGACCATGGGTCGGACTGCAAACTCAAAGGAACTACTATAAGCTGACCTTTTTTCAGGACTCTATTACTTGATCTCTCTATACCTCACTTTCACACACTTTGTTTTTAAAAGAAAGTCATGCTTCTCACACATCTGAATCTCACTATGATGCAGTGCCCAAAGGCACAAAAGCTTTTGGGATGTCAATACATGAGAAAATTTTAAACATTGTCTGCCATGCCAGTTTTTAATTATTGTCTCTCAGCTCCAAATTCAGTTTTGTGTTATTGAATCTGGACCTTCTACACATTTCTCTTTGCCAGCTGGTTGAATGTTAAGGTTATCAATAGAAAGCACTGGAATGATGTATCCCTGCCAAGGTACCTCCCCTCTTTATTATTATTATTCAGTAATTGTTGTGATTTTTGTTGGGTTTTAAGAATTAATATGAAACTTCTGATTAGTATATTTGTATTACATATCCTTTAATAAATATTGCATTCTACATGGAAATTAATTCAGAAAACTCCTAGCTATACAGTCAGTATCCAACATAGACAGATTCAGCTTCTTGTGTTCAGGATTAAGTTTGTAATCATTGAGTTTTGTCTCCAACCCCTGTAATGCATATTCCTTCCTTTAAACAGTAGATTTAAAATAAACAATACTAGCACAGAGATTGTAAAGGGGAAGAAAGTTACCTTCATTCTGTGATGCTATGTGACCATTTGAAGTTTTCATTTGTGTTAAAATTTTTTTGATTGCTGAGAAGTTTGAAAGCTGCTAGAGCAATCCTGAGGAAACAACCACATGGACTATATTGCAATTTGTGGAATTTAATATGTTAGGGGATTTTTATGACTTTCTGCCAAATGTACCTTCATGTTTATGGTTTTTAATAACTATATGTGTATATGTTGCTTTATGTGAAAAAAAACTTTCAAGATTAAAATGAATAAAAGAATTCTTTGATAATCCATGAGTAGAATAGATTGATGTATTGGCTATATGCTCTAAGAATTGCAAAGAAGATCAATCTGGACAAAGTTATTAACAAATGTGCCGAAGTTATTTTTTGAAAACAGAAATAGATAGGAGTTTGGCATAGGTAGTACTTGTCCAGCTTCATTACTGTCTCAGACTAATATGTAGGTCTAAATTTTCTCCCACTTAAAAACAAAAAACAAACCAACATTAATGTAAGAAAAAATCATTAATGCATTAGTTTTTTCTCTTTTGTAATGTAATACTTATTTTATCTTTTACTCTTTAATGGTATAATTCAGATATTAATAAAAGATACAAGATAGAAGTTTAATAAAACAAAATATTCAATGTTTCTTTTCTAACCACTATTATCATAATTAATTTTATTTATGATTATTTCTGAAAATATCTTTGTCCTATGGAAACCAAAACTCAAACCAAACCAGTTGTTGTCGAGTAGACTCCAACTTATGGAAGCCTCATGTATGCAGAGTAGAACTGTGCTCCATAAGGCTTTCAAGGCTGTGAACTTTAGGAAGTAGATTGCCAAGTCTTTCTCCAAGAGACCTCTGAGCAGGTTGAAAACACCAACCTTTCAGTTAGTAGTTGCCTTAGTTATCTAGTGCTACTATAACAGAAATACCACAAGTGGATGGCTTTAACCAGCAGAACTTTATTCTCTCACACATTAGGAGGCTAGAAGTTCGAATTCAGGGTGTCAGCTCCAGGGGAAGTCTTTTTATGTGGGCTCTGGGGGAAGGTCCTTGTCATCAATCTTCCCCTGGGTCTAGGAGTTTCTCAGCGCAGGGACCCTGATCCAAAGGATGTGCTCTTCTCTTGGATCTTCTTTCTTGGTGGTATGAGATCCTACTCCTCTCTGCTTGCTTGTCTCTTTTATATCTCAAGAGATTGACTCAAGATACAACTTAATCCTGTAGATTGCTTCCTACCTCATTAACATTACTACCTCTAATCCTGCCTCATTAACATCATAGAGGTTAGGATTTACAACGCATGGGATAATCACATCAAATCACCATATGCTGAACAGCCACACAGTACTGGGAATCATGGCCTAGCAAGCTGATACACATTTTGGAGGAACACAATTCAATCCATATGAGTAGTCGAGCACTTAACCATTTGTGCCACCCAGGGACTCCTAGCTTATCACACAGAAGAGCGTTATAAAAATTTCCAGGTGTCAAAAATGCTGAGTATACCTTTCTTCCATCCAAATTTTTAAAGTATCTTGTATCAGGCAGAAGAAACCACAAAGAAACAATTTCTTTCTTCTCTGTGGTTTGTTTGTTCTGTGTCCAAAGGTTCTAATTATTGGTATTCAAAGACAAGTGTGGAGACATTTTTGTCATTTCAAATACTTTCTAATGCATAAGTTTTAAAAATTGTTGCATATAACAAAATTTGGGTCTTTATTCTATCTGTAATTTACTTTTTCTATGTGATGGAAGGAAGACTCAGTAAAAAAGATTTATGTAGCTTTCTGGTTGACATATCCTAAATACCCTAGGTTTTAAAGTATGTAAATTGACAAGTTAAGGCCCAAAATGAGAGACCTTATTACAGGATCTTTTAACATTATAATCCAGAGTTGCTGGACTAAACTTGTTGGGCCCCGCCTATTATTCCTAATCAAGGGAACTACGCTCTCCTTTTATTTAACGTCTTACTATCCAATTACAAAGGGTCATTCAATAAAGGGAGAACTCAAGCCTATTCAAGGCTGGTGTGGAAAACATCTTTAATCTTTTTTAACCAAAGGCTTTGCAGCTTTGCATAATTTTAGGTATGAAGTCAGTTAAAACCACTCAGAACTTCTGAAAGAAAGAAAAAATTCCTGAAGAAATGCTTTATATTTCATGTGGGATACATATATTTCATATGAATGTACTTTATTTATATAGAAAATGTTTCTGAAAGTGCACAGTGAAAACATCAGGTTTGTTGATCTTTTCAGATCAACAGATTGAGGCTCCATTGAGTTTCATTTTGTTTCCCAGTTATGAAATTATACTTAAGTAATCAACAAGGTAGATTTTTTTTTTCAGGATTTACAGAATGAGAATAACACCTTGAATATAATCCATCTGATGAATGGAACTGTCCATTTTAAGAGGAATATTGAGGAGGAATTTATCAAAAAACATACAAGCTTATTTCTCCTTAGGGAAGAATAGATTAACTAACATCATGACAATTAACCAAGAGTAAAATATCTGGAGAAATCAGAAAAGGCACAGCTCTTGCAAAATGTAGAGGAGAATCTGCCCACAACTTGTACCATAATGGCTGAATTAAATGTTACAGTCTCACTTATCATGCCTATTAGTCTTAGGTCTTAAAGAGGCCTATTCTCTCTTTTTCTTCTTTCCTGTCTTAAAACACTTTCGATAACCAGACAAGCAACGTTTTATGACAAGAAAAGTAACAATTGCCACACAAGCCAGTGGAAACCCAATAACATCCAAAGAGTGGTACTGGTACCAGGTGAGGCTGAGGGCGGCTGGGCGAAGGTGCTTGGCTCCTTTGTGGTGCATGACAAACTTGATCCAGAAGACAGCTTTATCCAGGGGCTTAACAGGCTGATCATGGTGAATGGCTGATAATCTCATAGCATTCTCTTTATAGCTGAAGAAAAATTGAATAGACGTCAACTTAGAAAATAAATCAGAAAAGATAAGTCTGTGAAATTTTCATGCAGACGGTAAAAAATCAGTGTCACACAAGAAGAAAAGGCTAGAATTTGTTGAATGTATAGAATTACAAGATGTAAGTAAAGAAAGACAGAAGTTGGGAGAGGACTTTGTTTTAGGATAGAGAATGGAACTAGCTAAGGCCTAAAGGCAAAAAAAAAAAAGAAAAACATCATCATTTGAGTGTGCAGAGTTTGAATTATCCAGTAAGAAACTGTTAATGGACCTGGTGTGCAAGATTCAAAATAATACCATTATCCAGAAATAGGAGGCAGATCCATGATGAGGTTTAGGGACATGTCCAGGCAAGCTGGTCAAGAATTGGTATTGACCTTATGTCAGTGATTGAGTGGTTAAAAGTGTGAAAATGGATTGCCTTGGTTTGAATCCTGATTCTGACACTTACTTACTGTCTGCTTTGTGCAAGTTATTTATTCTCTCTGTGCTGCAGCTGTCTCTTTGTTAAAATGGAATGGATTGGGATAGTGCCTTATTTAGCTGATTTTTACGAGAAATAATGGATTGAGACTTAGAATACTTAGAATTGTTCCTACCATGTAGTAGATGCTCAGTAAATGTTTGCTATTATTATTGCTGTTGCTCTTGTTACCACTGTTATCTTAGAATCTGGAGAGTGCTCAATATTGCACTTTGAGGCACTGTAGTTGTATTTTGTTTTCTGTCAAAAATGATTATGGTCAAGGAAGAAGGGTATATAAAGCATATGACTTATGAACTCTAATCCCAAAGTTCTATAGCATGGCTTGGTAGCAATAGCAGTGGTGGTAACTTCTCTCCCTGTTATTTAAAAAACATAGTGGGAGGGCTGGGTTTTTGAGAGAAGGGCACTAATCCTGAAGCATGTTTGTAATATAATAGAGAAAGAATATAATAAAGAAGTCACATCATACAAGTTAAGAACTTAGTACAATGCCTATCATGTGATAATCATTCAGTATCCATTTGCTAATAAACTATCTTCATTTTCAACACCACCGTTATATTTATTAAAAATTAAAAGGTGTTTAAAGACATCTATACTAGAGAGATATGCTTTTACATGAACTCACCAAATGAAGATATATTCCTTTCATAATAATAATTAAAATGTGCTTTACATAGTAGTCATTTAGAATGAGCAATGCCAAACCAAACCCCTTGCTGACAAATCAATTTTGACTCATAGCAACCCTGTGGGACAGAGTAGAACTGCCCTATAGGGTTTCCAAGCAGCAGCTGGTGGTTTTGAACTGCCGATCTTTTGGTTAGTAGCTGAACCCTTAACCATTACACCACCAGGGCTGCCAATAAGCAGTAGGTATACTATAGGGTCACTATGAGTCAGAATCAACTTGATGGCAGCTGGTTTTTTTCTTAATGTAAGTGTCCACTGCACTATTATTATCAATATATTCTCAAATAAAATGTTTTATTTCTTCTTAAAATGATTATGAACTTTATAATGGGGAACATATATGCATAATAATTATGATAATAATAGCAGTACTCATATAATTGTAATTAATATATGTCTCAAGTTAATTTTGACACCAAATATTTCTGGTTTCAGAAATTTTGACTTTTGAACAGGAACGTTTCAACATTCCAACTGATGAAGATCGAAGACTACAGCCTTCAGTATGGATTATGCCTCAACATAAAGAAAACAAAAATCCTCACAACTAGACCAATAAACAATATCGTGATAAATGTAGAAAAGATTGAAGTTGTCAAGGATTTCACTTTCATTTTACTTGGATCCACAATCAATGACCATGGAAGCAGCAGTCAAGAAATCAAACAAAGTATTGCAGTGGGCAAGTCTGCTGCAAAAGACCTCTTCAAAGTGTTGAAAAGCAAAGACGTCACTTTGAGGACTAAGGTGTGCCTCACCCAAGCAATGGTATTTTCAGTCACCTCATGTGCATGCAAAAGCTGGACAATGAATAAGGAAGATCAGAGAAGAATTCATACCTTTGAATTATAATGTTGGCCAAGAATATCGACTATACCATGGATTTCTAAAAGAGCCAATAAATCTGTCTTGGAAGAAGTACAGCTAGAATGCTCCTTAGAAGTGAGGATGGTGAGACTTTGTCGCCTGTACTTTGGACATGTCCTCAGGAGGGAACAGTCCCTGAAGAAGAACGTCATGCTTAGTAAAGTAGAGGGTCAGAGAAGAAGAGGAAGACCCTCAAAGAGATGGAATGACACAGTGGCTGCAACAATGAACTCAAATAATAGCAGGATTGTGAGGATGCCACAGGGCCAGGCATTGTTTTGTCCTGTTGTCCATAGGGTAGCTATGGGTCAGAACATACTCAATGGCACCAAACAACAACAACAGCAACATTCCAACATATTTCTTCCAAGTCAATCACTGTTTAATTTTATAATTTTTCCAAATAAGATAAAAATAATCACAACCAAAAGACTTAAGACTTTGCATACATTTATGATTGCAGTGGGTTTGCTTTAGTATCCTCATTTTCAATGGTTTTAATTGTATAAATTTCAGTCTAGTTTTTTACCATTTATTTGTAATGGGATAAAATTATTAGTACAGAAATTTTGAGAAGTGTTCAATGTAATGGAAATTTGAGGTGTCATGCTGATTTGCTCGAAATAAACCATTATAGAATAGTTTCAAACATTTATTGGGTCTCATGCTGAGAGAAGGTCACATGACTGTGAAGAGTAGTATTATTATAACATTCATGGTCCCTGTTTCTACTTTGTTCTCATAATTCTTCCATTTCCAACTTCAGTGATTCCTCTCATTCTCCTTATTGGCCATTTCAAAATTTCCCCATTACCTCAAACCTCTGACAGATCATCCCCCCAACATCACCAATCAAAAAAAAAAAATCAAAACATCACCACCACCAACAAAAAAAAAACGAAACCAAAACGGTTATTATAACCACTCACGCTGGATCATTGATGACTGTCTTCACAGCATTGAATAAATCTGTACTTGTTATTGTGTTCATGTCCAGACTCACTGCTGCCCCCTTGGCCTTCATGCGAACTATGTTATCAGGTTGATCCCCAAACAAGGGAATGCCCACCATAGGGATACCATGGTAGACAGCCTCATAGATGCCATTGGTTCCACCATGAGTTATAAAAGCTTTGGTCTTTGGATGACCTAGGAATGGGTGAAATTTAGCAAAATTATTCATTATAATTCTTAGAAATAAAAAGGGAAATGTAAGGAGCTCAAAGAGGCAGTCTTATCTAGAAAACATTATTATGCCCATGAAACTATATTTAATTGTTTTTACACCTCTGAGCAGGAAGCAACTAAGTCTACTGGAGCAGTAAGTGAAGGCTTCATGGGAGAAATGATGTGTCCCTGGAGACTTGAAAGGTGACTAGAAGATTGCCAGGTGGACAAGTGGAAGGAGAATATTTAGATAAAAGTAACAACTTGAGCATAAAAAGGGGACACATGAGAGTATATATTCTCTTAAAGAAAAAGGGAGAAAAAAGATTGAGTCTGATATGTAGGGTATCCAAGGTAGGAGGAAGTGTGAATGGTGGTGGTGCTGGACTCAGAAGAAGGGAAGGCGATACTTCATCATGAAACATTTCATCACTTCATGATAAAGATTTTGGATATTTTCCTATAGAAAATGGAGACTCACTAGTTCTAAAGGAGGGGCTGTTATTGTTCAGCTGCATTTGAAAAACCTCTCCAGCAGTGGAAAGGAAAGGTATGAGGTGGAAGAATTAGGAGACAGAGAGATGATTCAGGAGGCTATTATAAAATTCCATATGAGAGGTGATTACTTTTGAAATACAGAGATCTTCCTTCTGGCCATAAAGATTATGACTATATGTAATGAAATGCCAATTATTATATTTCATCTTTTTTTTCCCTCTAGAACTAGAAAATACATATAAAAAACTTATGCTTTATTTTTGGTAGCACCAGTGGCAAAGTAGTTAAGAGCTTGGCTGTTAATCAAAAGATTGGCAGTTTGAATCTACCAGCTGCTCCTTGGAATCCCTATGGGGCAGTTCTACTCTGTTCTATAGGGTTGCTTTGAGTTAGAATTGACTCGATGGCAAAGGGTTTGGATTGGTTTTTGGTATGCTTTATTTTCAAGTTTTTCAATAGTAAATGTTCAACAACTGATTTTTCTGTTGAACTTTTATCCCTCTGATTGGCTATTACTCATATTTTCAGTATTTGTTCTCTAATCTTACCAAGAAGGTCATTCTGGGGGATCCATTTATAGAGCCAAGTATTGGGTCCTAAGGTATCTGGTTTCTTGCCATCATATCGCCACAGCACCTAATAAGATGAAGAAAATACTTTATTCCATGAGTAGAAATGCAAAGTTACAGCAAATTAGAATTCTAAGGAGATTAAAAGATCACCTAGTCAAACCCATTCCATATAACAGAGGAAATGAAGACAAGAGATGTTAAGAAATTGGAACTACAAAAACATTGAAGTAAATAGGAACACCCACACTAAATGAACTTATTATTATATCTCGTCAGGTATGGAACGTAATTATGATGTTTCACCCATGGTAGTGAAGAGAAATTAAATTCACAATGACAAATTCAAGTGTTTGGGAAATTGTTAGGCAATCATAATTCTAGTGCAAAAAACAGTAATGAATTCCTAATGATCTGTATATTTATTTTATTTTATCTACTTATTATACTGGCTGTCATCTCCTAAATTTAGTTTTAACCTCTTTCTCTCTTTTCATTACTATTATTTTTTGAATGACATGGAAAGGAGTTTACTTATGTTCGCTTTTTCTTGTCCTTGTGGTTTTGTGAAATATTTATTGTTGTACTTTAAGTGAAAGTTTACAATTCAAGTTAGTCTCTCATGCAAAAATTTATACACACATTCTTATGTGACCCTAACTACTCTGTCTATACTGTGACAGCACATTCCTCCTTTCCACCCCTGATTTCCCGTGTCCATTCAACCAGCTCCGGACTCTCTCCACTTTCTCATCTCACCTCTGAACAGGAGCTGCCCATTTAGTCTCCTTGCTTTCTGGGGCTCCTCCAGTCTTTTTAGACTCCTCATACCTCTGAATCAGCAAGCAGAGAAGGGAGTTACCGTATTGGCTGGCGTGATTAATCCTAGTTACCAAGAGGAAAGCGAACTGATATTACATAATGGAGGTAAAGAAGAGTATGTCTGGAATATAGGAGATCCCTTAGAATGTCTTAGTACTACCATGCCCAAGGCTAAAGTCAATGGAAAACTACAGCAACTTAATTCTGAAATGACTACTAATGGCCCAGACCCTTCAGGAATAAAGGTTTGGGTCACCCCACCAGGCAAAGAACCATGACCAGTGGAAGTGCTTACTGAGGTCGAAGGGAATACGGAATGTGCTGTGGAAGAAGGTTGCTCTAAATACCAGCTACAACCATGTGACCAGCTGTAGAATGAGGACTATAATTGTTTTTAGTATTTCTTCCTTGTTTTATTATATGTGTGTATATATATTGCAAATATCTTTGTTTTCTTCCCTTCCTTATTCCATTAGTTACTATAAAAGAGTAGCTATAATTGGAGCTAGTTCTTTTTTTTTTTTTGGTTGTACGTGTGTTAGTTATATCATGTTAGGCACAAATATGACATTATAATTGTCTTTATTTAGAGATTATATATGGTTTAAGGAGAAGTGTACAGGTGCCAAGTTGGCAAGGTTTAGACTGTAATGGTTAAGGTTATGTGTCAACTTTGCTAGACCATGTGATTCTCAGTGGTTTGGTAGATACTATGTAATCATCCTCCATTTTGTGATCTGATATGAGCAGCCAATCAGTTGAAAGGCCAATCATTTGAGAACCAATCAATGGAAAGGCAATCGATTTTCTTGGAGGAGTGACCTGCAGTGACCTGCATCCAATATAGATGAATGTTCTGGTAAAGCTCTCTCTGGATCCTGCTTTGGATTCGTCATCCTCTGACCTCCAGTTCTTGGGACACGAGCCAGCAGTCTGCTGCTTGACATTGACATGAGTATCTTGGGATCTGCTAGCTCCCACAACCTCATTAACCACCAGCCTGACCAGGCAATTTTGGTTTCGTCGGCCCCTGAATCCACTTGAGTCAGGAGGAGTGTCCAGCCTGATGCCTAACTCACTCTTTTTGAGACTTGCCAGCCTCCACAACTGCCATTTCCTTTAGATAAATGTATTTATATATGTATATTTATATATACGCTTCACTGGTTTTGCTCCTCTAGAGAATCCAGCCTAAGACACTCATGTTGCTCTTTTTCAAAGTGGAAAAACATGTAAGAACATTATGCAGAAGAAAAAACAATTTTATATTTCTTATCTTAACCAAGAACTTTAAACAATATACTGTTTATGTCAATATAAGGCTTTATGACTTTAGCCAAAAGTTATGGGAAACCTCACTAATAAATAAAGATGAAGAGTTAACAAGGCTTAAAAATAATAAAAGTCTCTGGGTGATGCAAATGGTTAACGTGCTTGGCTGCTAACTGAAATGTTGGCACTCAGAGATATCTGGGAAGAAAGGCTTAGCAATCTACTTCCAAAAAATCAGCCACTGAGAACACTGTGGCACACAGTTCTACTCTGACACACATCGGTCACCATTAGTTGTAATAAAGTTGACGGCAACTGTTATTTTTAAACGATTTTCAAAACTAATCAAAATATCTTACCTCACTCCAAATGAAAGAGACTTAGAAGCTTTATCACCATTCACAGACCCCTGTAATTAACATGTTATTTTTGTCTTATATTTGAGTTTTGACTTGCATTATTAATCCTCTAATTCACAGATTCTTTTATTTCACGTAATCAGAATTTGTTTATGTTTGTCATCTTGCTTAACCAACTTCCCTTTTTGAACCTCAGAATTTCCCTTTATGGTCAAAACTTTTGGAAGTTCATTCTTTAGAATTTCTTTTAGTGAACGTCTATTGGTGGTAAACTCGTAGCTTTTAGTTAAAGACATAAAGTGTCTTTATTTTTCCCTTCTTCTTAGAAAGTAATTTTGCTACACACAATTCAAATTTGTCAGAGATTTTCTAAAACACTTTAAAGATGCTATTTCTACTGTCTTTGCCTTTCACTATTGCTTAAGAAATATATTGACAACTCAATAATTATTTCTTTATAGAGAATCGTTTTCTTGCTTTTAAAGAAATTTTCTTTGTTGTTTTTCAGTTTCATAGTATATGTCTGTATATGGATTTAAAAAATTTTATCTTGTTTGTTATATGCTGTGTATTTTGAATTTAAGAAGTTATATCTTTCATGGTTGTTGGAAAATTCTCACCCACAGTTTCTTTCGATATATTATCTCCCTGATTTTATTTTTTTTCTTCCAGAATATCAATTACACATATGTTAGAATTTCTCATTTTATCTTTTCTTATATGTCTCTCAACCTTTTATTGCATATCCTCTCTTACTTTTGTCTCAGTAGGCTGTGTTTATTTATTTTGTTTTTGTTTTTCAGTTTTGCTATTTTGTTCATTATCCATCCATTGACTTTTTTATTTTGATGATTATGTATTTAATTTTTAAAATTCTTTTTAGTCTTTTCTTATATGTGCATGACCAATTTGATAGCTTAATTTTTTTCACCATTATAATTTTTTTTATTGTGCTTTAGGTGAAAGTTTACAGCTCAAGTTAATTTCTCATACAAAAATTTATACATGTATTGTTATGTAACACTAGCTGCAATCCCTAGAATGTGATAGCACACTCCCCCTTTCCACCCTGGGTTTCCTGTGTCCATTCAACCAGCGCCTATTCTTTCCTGCCTTCTCATCCTGCCTTAGGACAGGGGCCACCCATTTGGCCTTGTGTATCTGCTTGAACTAAGAAGCACACTCTTCACGAGTATTACTTTATGTTTTATAGTCCAGTCTAATCTTTGTCTGAAGAGTGGGCTTCGAGAATAGCTTTAGTTCTGGGTTAACAGAGTGTCTGAGGGCCGTGGCGTCAGGGATTTCTCCAGTCTCAGTCAGACCATTAAGTCTGGTCTTTTTACGTGAATTTGAGTTCTGCTCCACATTTCTTCTCTTACTCCATCAGGGACTCTCTGTTGTGTTCCCTGTCAGGGTGGTCATTGGTGGCAGCCAGACACCATCTAGTTCTTCTATCGATAGCTTAATTTTTATTATTATTTTATTTCTTAAATTATTTTGTACATAATTAGTTTAAATCCTCTAACTGATAAAGCAGAATCGACTTGACAGCAGTGGGTTTGTTTTAGGTTAGATGATAAATCCTGCACCTGATATTTTGTTGCTTACATCCATTATGTTTATTTCTAAATCTCAATTCGGTCGTGGATTATGTCCTCCTGTTCTTGGTAATTTTATTGTGAGGTAATAATTGTGTGAACTTTATATGTAGGAACCCCATGGGGTACAAATTTAAGATAATTTCTGTAAGAGAATATTTGCATCAGTTAGGCACAGGTGGCCACTATCAAACCTGAAATAATTTTACAAATATTACAACTTTAATACCTGGGGTCCCACATGTAGCCTCATGTAAGCAGTACCAATATAATCACAGACTCGTGCTGGCAGGCTTATGGTTACAAAGTTTAAGGTAGTTTAATTTTTAGTATTACCAACTCAGAACCACAACATGGAGAGACAGTTTCATTGTGGGATTTGTCTTACTCCATTAGCCCAGCAATGTTTATCGTACTAATTTCTGTTCTATACTGGAGAGATTTTCTGAATATTTTTTCTGTCACATTTAATTATCCTGCCTTTGTGTTTTGTTAAACTATTGACTAGACATGGAACTAGAGTATTTTCAGTATATTAGATTGAACTATATGAAATTGCCATTTTAGGCAAGTCAGACATAGTTGAATAGCAGAAATTTCATATGGTTCAGACTAAAAGAATCATATTAATTTGTTTTGTTTTTGTTGTTATGGCCATCCAGTTCACCCCCACGTCACGGAAACTTCACGCACAATGGAATGAAATGTTTCCTGGTCCTGTACCATCCCCACGATCCATGGTGATTGGACCATTGTGGTGCATAGGATTTTCATTGGTTGATTTTTGGATGTATGTTGCCAGGCCTTTCTTCCTAGTCTGTCTTTGTCTAGAAGCTCTGCTAAAACCTGTTCATCATAATAACAACATGCAAACCTCCACTAAGGGACGGTGTGTTGGCTGGGAATCAAACCTAGGTCTCCCACACTGAAGGAGATAATTCTACCACTGAACCACCAATGCATTTTTACGGCATTGAGAACTGCCAAAGGAATTCATTGCTATCTTCAGTAAATGA